GGGGGGCAAAGCCATAAATGTACAGAGTCATTAGTCCTAATACGTATTCCGTGTGCCAGTCCCTCCATGTTCTATGACTGGCCCCTCCTCCATGTTTTAGGACTGGCCCCTCCTCCATTTCCTGATGGTACAGTACAGGACACAGGCATATTCAGAGACATTGGGTAATATGGCGGTATCATCAGGTGATTGGACCCTGGCCAGAGCTGGGAGGACCCTCATATAACCCCTCCCTCCATTCTGACCACGGCACACAATTCACGTTGGGAACCATACCTGGACCCCGCTGGGGTCAGATTGCAATCACTCTGGGCACTGGATCCTATGTGTAGCACCCACCTTAGCACACGGTGCAACACAAGTGAGCAAGGCCATTCCCTGACTGGAGGTCTACTAAGGTTCCCCTGCCCCAACAGAGAAGATTCTGCAGCCTCTATGAAGGTTTTCCTTAGCCCTGTCCCGATACTTTCCCCAAGGTACTCACCGATACCAATTACCGATACCTTCCCCAAGGTACTCGCCGATACCAATTACCGATACCTTCCCCAAGGTACTCGCCGATACCAATTACCGATACTTTCCCCAAGGTACTCGACGATACCACTTCACGATAAGTACTCGCCGATACCAATTACCGATACTTTCCCCAAGGTACTCGCCGATACCAATTACCGATACTTTCCCCAAGGTACTCGCCGATACCAATTCCCCATACTTTCCCCAAGGTACTCGCCGATACCAATTACCCATACTTTCCCCAAGGTACTCGCCGATACCAATTACCCATACTTTCCCCAAGGTACTCGCCGATATCAATTACCGATACTTTTTCTTATAGTGACATGCAGACTAATGCTTTTAGGGCAGTTTCTCAGCGGGGCTACATAGAGATCTCGCCGCAGCCGACAGCACGTGTCGCCGCAGATGTGAGCACGTGTCGCCGCAGCCGAGAGCACGTGAGCAGCCGAGCGCAGATGTCGCCGCAGCCGAGCGCAGATGTCGCCGCAGCCGAGCGCAGATGTCGCCGCAGCCGAGCGCAGATGTCGCCGCAGCCGAGCGCAGATGTCGCCGCAGCCGAGCGCAGATGTCGCCGCAGCCGAGCGCAGATGTCGCCGCAGCCGAGCGCAGATGTCGCCGCAGCCGAGCGCAGATGTCGCCGCAGCCGAGCGCAGATGTCGCCGCAGCCGAGCGCAGATGTCGCCGCAGCCGAGCGCAGATGTCGCCGCAGCCGAGCGCAGATGTCGCCGCAGCCGAGCGCAGATGTCGCCGCAGCCGAGCGCAGATGTCGCCGCAGCCGAGCGCAGATGTCGCCGCAGCCGAGCGCAGATGTCGCCGCAGCCGAGCGCAGATGTCGCCGCAGCCGAGCGCAGATGTCGCCGCAGCCGAGCGCAGATGTCGCCGCAGCCGAGCGCAGATGTCGCCGCAGCCGAGCGCAGATGTCGCCGCAGCCGAGCGCAGATGTCGCCGCAGCCGAGCGCAGATGTCGCCGCAGCCGAGCGCAGATGTCGCCGCAGCCGAGCGCAGATGTCGCCGCAGCCGAGCGCAGATGTCGCCGCAGCCGAGCGCAGATGTCGCCGCAGCCGAGCGCAGATGTCGCCGCAGCCGAGCGCAGATGTCGCCGCAGCCGAGCGCAGATGTCGCCGCAGCCGAGCGCAGATGTCGCCGCAGCCGAGCGCAGATGTCGCCGCAGCCGAGCGCAGATGTCGCCGCAGCCGAGCGCAGATGTCGCCGCAGCCGAGCGCAGATGTCGCCGCAGCCGAGCGCAGATGTCGCCGCAGCCGAGCGCAGATGTCGCCGCAGCCGAGCGCAGATGTCGCCGCAGCCGAGCGCAGATGTCGCCGCAGCCGAGCGCAGATGTCGCCGCAGCCGAGCGCAGATGTCGCCGCAGCCGAGCGCAGATGTCGCCGCAGCCGAGCGCAGATGTCGCCGCAGCCGAGCGC